CTGAGGAGTGCCGGAGGGCCAAGCGGTGTTCAGCCTTGGCTGTTTCTGAGGCAAAAGCTCGGATGTGGAAGGAGTTGGGTGAGACCTTGGATAGAGACTCTCAGTTAGCTCTGAAGCGATTCTGGCAACCCATCAGACGGCTGAGGAGGGGAAAGCAGCACTTTACTAACACTGTGTTCAGTGAAGGTGAGGTGCTATTGACCTCAATCAGTGATGTCGTCGGGAGGTGGATGGAATACTTCTCGGACCTTCTCAATCACACCAGCATGTCTTCCATGGAGGAAGCTGAGTCAGGGGACTTTGGGGTTGATCCGCCCATAACTGTGGCTGAGGTCGTCCATGTAGTTAAAAAGCTCAGAGGCAGCAGGGCTCCGGGATTGGATGAGATTCACCCTGATTTCCTTAAGGCTCTGGATGTTGCGGGGCTGTCTTGGTTGACATGCCTTTGCAACGTTGTGTGGACATTGGGAGCAGTGCCACTGAATTGGCAGACTGGGGTGGTGGTTTCCCTCTTCAAAAAGGGGGACCAGAGGGTGTGCTCCAATTATAGGGGCATCGCTTTCCTTAGCCTCCCTGGTAAGGTCTATTCAGGGGTACTGGAAAAGCGAGTCCGATCGTTGGTTGAACCTCAGATCCAGGAGGAACAATGTGGGTTCTTTCCTGGCCGTGGAACACTGGATCAGCTCTTGACCCTCACTGGGGTCCTCGAGGGGTCATGGGAGTTTGCCAATCCTGTCTACATGTGTTTTGTGGACTTGGAGAAGGCATTCGACGATGTTCCTCGAGGTACACTGTGGCGTCATCATGCCGTGATGTTCAGCTCTCACTGGAGCATTTCACAGCCGAGAGTGAAGTGGCTGGGATGATAATCAGCATCTCCAAATCTGAGGCCATGGTCCTCAGTCGGAAAATGGTGGATTGCTCTCTTCAGGTCGAGGGTGAGGTTCTGCCTCCAGTGGAGGAGTTCAAGTATCTTGGGGTTTTGTTCACGAGTGAGTGAAGAATGGAGCGTGAGATTGACAGACGGATTGGTGCAGCATCTGCGGTATTGCGGACTCTGTACTGGTCTGTTGTATTGAAGAGGGAGCTGAGCTGTAAGGCAAAGCTCTCTGTTTACCAGTTGGTCTACGTTCCTACTCTCACCTATGGTCACGAGCTCTGGGTAGTGACTGAAAAAATGAGATTGCAGATACAGGTGGCTGAAATTAGTTTCCTCTGCAGGGTAGCTGGACTCTCCCTTAGAGACAGGGTTCAGTTATCAGGAGAGACTCAGAGTAGAACAGCTGCTCCTCCACATCAAGAGGAGCCAGTTGAGGTGGTTTGGGCATCTGGTAAGGATGCCTCCTGGGCGCCTCCCTAGGGAGGTGCTTTGAGCATGTCCAACTCGGAGGAGACCCGGGGAAGATTCAGGACATGCTGGAGAGACTATGTCTCTCGGTTGACCTGGGAACGCCTTGGAATTCTCCCAGAAGAGCTGGAAGTGGTGGCTGTGGAAAGAGATGTCTGGGCCTCCCTGTTCTGGGTTTGTTCTGCCCCCGCCACCCGACTTCAGAATAAGCGGAAGATAATGGATGGATGGATGGATAAATAAATTGAACTCTTGTTTTGCACTATATGGCAGCACGGTGGCGCAACTGGTAGAGCAGCTGCCTCTCAGCGAGCAGGTTACCCTGGTTCAAATCCCGGTCCGGGGCCTTTCTGGGTGGAGTTTGCGTGTTCTCTTCGTGCATGCGTGGGTTTTCTCCGGGTACTCCGGTTTCCTCCCATAGACCAAAAACATGCATGTTAGTCTGATTGGTAACTCTAAATTGTCCCTAGGTGTGAGTCAGAGAGTGAATGGTTGCTTGTCTCGTTTGTCTCCATGTGTCCCTGTGATGGACTGGTGTTGTATTCTAAAGGCTAGGTTAGCAGTCATATTTAAATAACGAGTTCTCTCTTTTTCAAGCTAATTACAGCCATGTGACAGAGGTACTGTGCGTAGATGGTTTAATCAGTGACATGAGACGTTAATTTTCTTTGACCCATCAAAATAAATTGGTCATTTATTGAACAGAATCAAAATTTAACATCAAAACATTGTACACTTGATTAGACTGATCTGGTTGGCCTTGTTGCTGTTTTAAGTGCTCTATAAATAAATTGGTATGGTATGGTATGGTATGGTATGGTTCTGATTAATTAAACTTGGCACGTTTTACTTAATAAAAACAATAGACATTTCTGAAGACCTCTAGATTAATTACTGGCAAGATAGAAGAGTTTCAAAGATGGGAAATACGGAGGAGTTTAAAGGGAGATGTGGAGTAAGATGTATGTCTGTAGACCAGAACAGCACACTCCTTTCAAACGCAGCGCCCGCGGTACACTTCACGTGAAGCTCGTGACGACTCTTTACCTTGGCAGAGGATGGGTCCGCTACGGTCAAGAGGTCCCTGGCACGCTACCTTTCAGAGTCTCCTCAGGGCGGCTGCGACTCGGCAGAAGTCGTGAGATACTCCGTTCTACAGAACAAACTTCCTCAGAAGTTGTAGGGCATTCGCCTGGTGATAGTCACAGCGAGGCGCCGTGACCACAGCAGAGATGGATGACTCCATCAGCCTGGAAAACTGAGTCCGAAGTTCCACTCAGCAGTGGAAACTCCAGAACTCCAGAACAGCTAGAGCTGAAGAACAGAACTTCACTCCAGGACTACTCCACAAGACCCCAGAAGACTCTAGAAGACTCAGAAAACTCAGCAGACTAATAGTTCCAGGAAGTGTCGACTTTTAAAGAGTTCTGCTTCCGGTCACTTTAGTAAGTCCTGATTGGTTGAGGCAACCAACAGGGGTGTGGTTCTAGTGATGTCAAAGGGTTTTTACAAGTCAAGAAAACAGCAGAAATGTTTAGGAACAGACAGAGAAATGTTTTGGCCAAGTGAGAAACACTGCAGGTGCCAGTTTTCTTATTTACTGTCTGAGAGTTTTAAAAACACGACAGCCCGTTCTAACAACTTGTTTTTGACTGTCTCTGACTTTTGACCGACATCACTCTTTCTCATTTCAGACAGAAGATCAAAATGCATAATTACTTTGTAAAATAGACATTTAACTTGATTTCTAATTTAAATGAGGATTAAAAAATCATTAATACTGTTTCACAGTTGATTTAAAATGAGTGGTTCACTTCAACATTTAAAAATGGTATGAACTAAACACACTTTTGATTATCAAGATATTGTAAAATAGTGATGATAATATAAAAAAGAGAGTGTTCTTTCAATTGATTAGTTCAGGATGCAATTAGAAAGCCTCTGGATGAGCTCATTTGTATTTCTGGATTCAAATCAATGAAATAACAGTTCCTGTCCCATGAAAATCTTCAGAGGCAGGTTTTGGTCGGAGGCCTAGTCCACTACACTGGAGACCTGTCCAGAATGTACCCCGCCCTTCGCACAATGATTGCTGGATGTGGGCACCGGCGACCCCCGTGACACAAAATAGAAGAAGCAGGTAAAGATAATAGATGGATGGATTTCTCACTATATTTGGAAGAAGCAGCACCAAAAAGTTATGTTCTTTATCCTCACTAAGCCAAAGCATTTAGGAGACCTATCTCTGCCCAGTCTACAGTTGTATTATCGTCAGCACAACTTAGGATGTAAACTTGGTTCATGAACATCCCCGATGGTTGGGTCTCAAATCTCAGTCTTGTTTCACTAGAAGACTCCCTTCTTTGATTACTAACAGATGAGTTAGACAACCTTAAGCTCAACATGTTTGTCAACAACACACTGTGTTTGGTGAGACATGAAGGAATACTTTAATAGTTAACCTCCCTCTGACTCTGGACCTTCTAGTGTTAGTCTGGCAGAGTGGACACCAAAAGGCTTGTCAAACCTCTCAGACATCTTTGTTCTGTTAAATCATTCAAACACGTCAGGGCTGATTTTAATATTTCCTGTTAATTTTTTTTTTATATAATATCTTCAAATCTGTCTCTTCACAGTGACTTAAAGTTAGAAGGGATCGGCACGGAACTGTCAGAGCTAGAAAACAATCATTTTGACCTAATCTTTTAAAGGACTGATCTCCAAGCTTCATTCTGAAACTTCTGGATGACTCTTTGAAGCCATTATGGGTGTGACCTGAGCATGATGGTCCCACAGACTGGGTCAAGATCTGCAACAGAGTTTTCCACATATCTACTTCGATGCATGAACAAAACTTTACACTTTACCACACGTATTACACACCTGTTCACATCCAGTTTAAGGTTCCCGACACAGCCAATCTGCTATAAATGCAGGATACACAATAAATTTCTCCATTAATTTTGATAAAAGGTTTTCTTTAGCCACATCTCATGTGGTGGAACGAGATTGAGTACACAGGGTCCCAGTTACATCCAACATGTTGCCATCCAGACCTTCTGGTAGGAGTTTGTTCTGTGACCCAGTTCACTTGTGAACGAGTTTCACAGATTCCTGCCTTTTAAACCAAACCTTAGACAAGCTTTGACACAAATAAGTTTCTGCCATATCACACACACACACACACACACACCTTCCTGTAACAGTCAACAGTGCAGCTCCTTCAGTAGACACGTGGCCGTCGCAGATTTCTGCCTTTATCCCTTAAGTTGAACTTATGACCCTTTCCTGCAGAGACCCAGACTCATCTGTCCCTAGAAAGAACGTTAGCCGTCTTATTGTCATCTTTCAACACTCAAGTTTAGTTTGGGGTGGGATTTCATTTGCCTATGGTCTACCATTTCTAAAATAAACCAAAAAATATGGATCTCTCATTTCTTCTTTAAAATGAGATGTCATTTAGTAAAGACAGACATGGAGCATTGGCATCTCACACCTGACTGACATTTTAAAGTTACATCTTCATTAACAGGACTTGATGTGCACGAGTGCACAGAAACGACTGGTCTCTGCAGGAATATGCAGATATATAAAGTTTAACATCACTTCAGTGCAAACGAAGTCAGTTGAAAAATGCAATAAAAAGCCTAGTTTAAAAATGTTTATTTACAATGCACAGTTTAGACACTTCATTTATGCAGCTTATCATTAATGTACAGTTAAAAACAAAAACCCAGAGATTAGTCCCAACTGGACTCAGACTTCCTGTTCAGAGCTCCTGGACTGAGAAATGAACAGGTCCAGTTCTGCTCGACCTGCTGACGGACAGGTCAAACAATAAAAATAAAATATAAATTGGGGGGGTTAATTACAAATTCCTCCAAGTACAGAAAGTAAATAAAAAATTTAAAAAAGTATAAAAGTTTGGAGCGCTTGTGTTGTGGTTTTGGACGGGCTGAGGTTTCAGACAGCCCTGCTGTCCCAGACCTCGTGGGTCTTGGGGCTCTCCAGCTGCTGCAGGGTCAGAAGCAGGTCACTCAGGTGCTGGCTGGAGAAGGTGAAGGCGTTGTGGACTGGGGATGGGGTTGATGGAGGAGACGAAGACGTGGAGGAGGTGCAGTCTGGGGACAGGCTGTCGGAGCTTCTCATCTTGCTGGGGAGGCCGTGCTGGAAGCGGCAGCGCGTCCCGTACAGGCAGAACCCGAAAGAGCTGAAGGTGTGGCACAGGGCCCCTCGGGGCTTCCACTCTCGAGGTAGGTCTTGGACGGTCTTCTCACCATCAGCTGAAATGCTCTTCTCCACTTCTCCATCCTCTACGTGCAGGAAGTTGCAGCGCGGGCCGAAGGGACAGACCCCGAAGGAGCTGAAGGTGCGACAGGGGACGTTCCTGCGGCAGTGCTGGACCTGTCGCTGCTCTGATGGACTGTGGACAAACAGGCAGCGGTTGCCATAGTAACAGTAGCCAGTAGTGTGGTATCTGCGGCACAAGGCCGTCTTGTACTTCGGGTGGCGGAAGGGGATGTGCAGCTCATGGAGGCCATGGGCGAACTGGCAGCGGTCAGCATAGCTGCAGGAGCCGGACGTAGCGTAGCTGGTACACAGCTCGGTTTTGTAGCGGGTGGAGGACACCCAGGGGGCATCTGTAGGGCTGTAGGGCCCCACCTGGGGGAGCAGAGCCTTTGTTAAGGACAGGTCACTTCCACTGCTGCCCTCAGACTCCTCACTGCACAGCAGGTTGTCCACCAACTCCTCATCATGACAGGAAGGCAGGAGCAGGTCGTCACTGTTGTCCTGGGGGAGGACAGAGACATCGAAACTGAAGTTAAACCAAAACACATGGCCTTACATCTTCGCGATAAACGAATCCATTAATCGCATGATAAATGAAAATTATCTACCTCATTTTCATGTATCGGCTTTGTTTCTTCGTGTCTACTGAAGACACTGAATGACAAAAAGCTCAACTTCAGTGCTCTTCACTGACCCCTCCCTTTCTCTTAATTCCGTTTTAACCATCCAAAAATCACATTTTTGGATGGTTAAAAGCAGCTAAGCTATGAGCTAAGCCAACAAGCCGACCTGGGGGGTGGGGGTGGATAACCACCATCTTGTCAAAGCTCCAAAATTCATGGTTGAAACTTGTGCCTTCATGTAAAAAGTTGTTTCGCTGAAGAAAGGCGAGAACTTGTTTACTGATTTTTTAAATTTTTTTTATTTATTTAAAGCTTTGTGTGAAAAATGCTTTGCTAAAGAGCTCAAACCACAGCGTCCGCCATTTTGAGAGCCGTAAAAAAAAGGAGACAGTCCATGTCAAGTTAAGAGGTCTCTCTTTCATTTTTCTTACTCCCTCACTATCCATCCTTCGGTTCAGTCTTATACTGCCATCCAGTGGTCAAAAAAAAAAAAAAAAAAAAAAAAAAAAAGGTACTACACAACAATTAACCAATATGCTGGTGAAGATTCTCAGTCATCCAGGACATGATGAATTCAAAAAGCATTCAATACAAAAATAACTGGACTTTATTTGTAACAGAAGACGTTTCGCTCCTCATCCGAGGAGCTTTCTCAATTCAAAGAGCAGAGAGTGAGAGATACAGGTTATAAGGCTGAGTGAGATAAGACACACACACACACACGACACACATATGTAGATTGGCAGTTCACACCTAAAAACCTAGAACAGTAGGTCTTTGTTCCTCTAATTCACAGATGAGGCCCCCTCTGTTCCCATCAGGTGTGAAAACCGGCTGGGGATCTGTTTTTAAAGTTGCATTATACGTTTTTGAAAGTGGAAATCTGAGACCTCCTCCTCTGTTAAGAGACGGCTTTTCTCTTTTTACATAAATTACTTCCTTCACCCCCCTCTCAAACCATCTGTGTTCTCGGTCCAAAATGTGCACATTTTGGTCCTCAAAAGAGTGTCCCTTATCTGTGAGGTGGAGGTGAACAGCTGAGTCTTGTCCTGTGGACCTGGCTCTC